CCATAAAGAGCTTTTGTCAATTTAAGAACATGATCTGGAAATTTTGAATCTTCAAAACCTGGAGGTTTTTCGACATACACTTCTTCCTTTATAAATCCATTTAAAAATGCACTTTTAACATCCATTTGATATAATTTAAATTCATGAAAACATGCAAATGCTAATAACATTCTAATTGCTTCCATCCTAGCTACGGGAGCGTATGTTTCATCATAGTCTATGCCCTCTTCTTGAGTATACCCTTGAGCAACAAGTCTAGCCTTGTTTCTCACTATATTACCACTCTCATCAAGCTTATTCCTAAATACCCATCTAGTACCTACAGTATATTTATTACTAGGCCTTTCAACTAATATCCATACTTTACTTCTCTCAAATTGATTTAATTCTTCTTGCATAGCCATAATCCAATGTTCATCATTTAATGCTTCTTTAATATTCTTAGGCTCTATGCATGAAATAAATGCAACATAATTACAAATATTTCTAAGAGAAGATCGAGTTGTTACCCCTTTTGATGGATCACCTATAATTTCACCATCCTTGACATAGTTGTACTCTCTTGGATAAGATACTTCCCTTTCTTCAATGGTTGGATTCTCAAGAGGATCATGAGTTTCCTCATTTTTCGTTTCTTCCTTTGATGATGGTTCTCCAATGTCATGTCTAACGTCATTCGTATTTATAACACCTACATCATCATTCACACAAGAATCCTTCCTCGGAAGGGGATTATCATCGAAAACAACATGTATAGACTCTTCTACAACTAAAGTTCTTTTATTAAATACTCGATAAGCTTTAGAATTTAAGGAATAACCCAGAAAAATTCCTTCATCACTTTTAGCATCAAATTTGCCAAGGTTTTCTTTACCGTTGTTTAAAACAAAACATTTACATCCAAAAGGATGAAAATAACTAATGTTAGGCTTTTTATTTTTGAAAATTTCATATGGAGTTTTCTTTAAAATTGGCCTAATCATTACTCGATTTACAACATAACAAGCGGTATTTGTGGCTTCCGTCCAAAATTATTTTGGCAAATTATTTTCACAAAGCATTGTTCTAGCCATTTCTTCTAAAGTTCGATTTTTCCTCTCAACAACTCCATTTTGTTGAGGGGTTCTAAGTTCTGAAAAATTATGGCTAATACCATTAGAATTACAAAACTCAATAAATCCAAGATTTTCAAATTCAGTGCCATGATCACTCCTAACACTAGTTATAGAGTAACCTTTTTCATTTTGGATTATTTTTGAAAATGTTATGAAATGTTCTAATGCTTCATCTTCAGTACTTAAAAATAGAACCCAAGTATATCTAGAATAGTCATCTACCAAGACAAATGCATATTGTTTCCCACCCAAGCTAGTAGTCCTAGTTGGCCCAAAAAGATCTATATGGATCAATTGTAATACTCTACTAGTTGATACGTCATTAATGGATTTAAAAGAAACTCACTTTTGTTTTCCTTTAGCACAAGCATCACAGATTTTATCATTATCAAATTTAAGCTTAGGCAACCCTCGAACTAATTCTCCTTGAACTAACCGTTGCAAAATACTCATACTAGCATGTCCTAGTCTCCTATGCCATAACCAACTGTCATGCTCATCCTTTGCAACTAGGCATAAATTAGTCATTTCTATAGAGTGTAAATGTACCATGTAAATGTTTCCAATTTTATGACCAACAAGCATAATTAAAGCAGATGCAATGTCAATCAATTTTGCAAACACTTAATTTAAAAATAAGACATTGTATCTTTTGTCAAATTCATCTAATCGGATTATGCTTTAATCCATTCATATACAAAACATTATGCAATGTTGATTATCGAGATTAAGAGAACATGCATAAAGTTTTTGAAAATGTTATGCATTAAAACTTTATAATAAATTTTGCAAAACCAAAGTTCTTGAAAAATCGATATCAATTGTTAAAGAGATATCAATTACATTTTAAAAAAAATGACCAAAAATTAATATGATGAACTAGAGTTTATAAAACATTACCAAAAATTACTATGTTTATCATACAATATTTTTCAACATACATGAGATAAACCATAATCATTTATTCAACATTTAAAACCTCATGCATGCATAAACTAAATGAGCAACCAAATAAAATAAAAATATTAAGTTTAGAGGTTACTCATTCCTTTTTCATGTGTGGCTAGAGCATCTTGAATATCATCATCTTCATCACCATTGCTGCCACACACCTACAAGAGACATTTAAGTAGATTTTGGTATCCAAATTGCTTTGGATCCTTGAACATTAGTTTCAATGCCTCTTGTTCCTTTTGGAACCCATACTTGTCTAATTTTAAATTGTTTTCCTTTCTTTAAAGGACACGTATGTTCCTTATGACCATGATAATGACAATGTGAACATATTGTCATTATTGAACTAGATGAATTATTTAAAATGATATCTTTTTCTTTTGTTAAACATTCAAGCTTAACTTTCAAATCGAAATTTTCTTTTTCAATACTTTCAAATTTCATTTTTGAAAGCTCTAAATCCTTCTTCAAGATTTCATTTTGATTTTCAAAATCCATTTTCGTTTATAGAAGAAGTTTGTTTAATTTGAAAATTTCTTTTTCAAAGTTTTCAGATTTTATTTTTGAAAGCTCTAACTCCTTTTTCAACATTTCATTTTGATTTTCCAAGTCTGTTTTAGCTTTCAAAAGAAGATCATTTTTAGCAATAAATTTAGAAATCAATTTATTATATTTGGAGTTCATGGTATCAAACTCCGAAAATAATTCATCATAAGCATCTTGTAACTCATTAAAAGATTTTGAATTTAATCTATTTGAGTTAGAATATACCTTTGGCTCTATGAGAGCTAATAGAGACATCACCTTTATTGGTTCTTCTTCTTCCTTGTCTCCATAGATCTCCTCAAGCTTATCCCACATCTCCTTGGCATTTGAACAAGAAGAAACTCCTTTATATACATTAGGATCAATTGCACAACACAACATGTGCATAGCTGTTGTATTTTGTTGAGCTTTCTTCTGTTCTTGATCACTCCACTTCTTTGCCTTCTTTGTAGGAGAAGAATATCCTTTCTCGATCATCATCCAAGCTTCCATATCAAATGATTGGATAAATATCATCATAAGCTTCTTCCAACGACGATAATTTGTTCCATTGAAGTGTGGAGGCACGTCAATTGGTCTGGATTCTTCCATGGAGAATGAACCAGAAGTGGACGCCATCTTTATCGATTTAACTCTTCCCGGATCTACTCAAGAGGCGGTTAAACCTTCAAATGAGTCAAAGCTCTGATGCCAATTGTTGAGTTAATCGATTGACGGAATCGGCCAAGAGGGGGTGAATTGGCAATTAAAATTTTGGTGGAAGCTTTTGCAGAAAATTGAAAGTAATTGCATAGCGATTTAGAGTGGTTCGACTTTATCAACCAAAGTCTACGTCCACTACCTTAGCTATCCACACTAAGGATTTTCCACAAATTCACTAATTTGTCTTTCTTTTGAGGACAAAGAGTAACCTTACAAACCATCAAGAATTATACCCCAAATTCTTGAGAACACTCTCTCCCAAAGAGAATAATACAAATTTTGCAAACTTACAAGGAAATCCTCACAAGGTAGATTGTTTGCACAATTCTAGAAAAAAGAAAAGAACACTCAAAGATGAATACAATTGAGCACAATAAGTGTTCTTGAAATCAAAATGAATATTGAATGAAAAATAGGCTTGAAATGCTCAAACTTGAGGTTTGATGCTTTCTCTTTGATTCTCTCTTGATTCTAGTTGCTTGATGTTTTTTTGTTATTGATCAATGGCTCCTAAGCTTGCTTAAATACACCTTGGATCACTTCTGAACATTGTGGATGATTAGTGAAGATAATATAGCCGTTTTAGTGTGAAATCAATTAATAAAACAGTTTGGAGCGTGGGGGAATCGGTACCCCTCATGGGGAATCGGTTCCCTAAGTGTAAAATTCAAATATTTCGACCGTTGAACAGGGGGGAATCGGTACCCCCTAGGGGGGAATCGGTTCCCTCCGAGCATACTGGAATTCTTGGAGCCAAACCGTTCAGGGGGGAATCGGTACCCCCTTGGGGGGGAATCGGTTCCCTCTGGGTAGGCTGTAATTTTTGGCTTTGAAATGGTTCGAAATACTTTGTAAAATTATTTTGAAATTGTTTTAAGATTAAAACTTAATTTTACACTTAAGTAAGGATTAAAAATGACTTTTGAAAGATTTAGAGTAATGTTTTGATATTCGAATAATTATATCGAATATACTTAGAAAATCATTAAGAAAATCTTAAAATTCATTTATCTTAATTTGTTATATCGAAATATCAAAATGTATTCAACACTCTTGAACCTAGACCTCCGAACGTTTCCTCTGAACTGTAATCTTCCTGTCTTTTACTACCTGAAATATCAGTGGGACCTCATCACAAAAATCTGTAGATGTCTAAATCAATACGGAAAATTTTGCTTCCCTATTATATGCATGTCATTTAGCATCACTTGGTAGTTCTTTATTACTAAGCTTCCCAAAGTTTACTCTGTTACTCACTATTTCAGGTTAAATTGATCCAGTTCAGCTATCGACATCAGTATTGGAGTTCCACCGGCGTTGCTTGCAGAGTACGGTGCATGTGATTAGGGGGCATCTATGTTGTATTTTGTTTTTATATCCGAGTCTGAGATCTGTTTTATTTCTGAATATTGTATAATCTTAATTTTGTATTTTAATCAATTGCATTTGTAGTGTGTGTGTGCACGTTGTCAATATAGGCTAAGAAAAATTATAAAAAGTTACTACCTTGTAATCACACAGACAATTAAAAAAGTTAAACCCATTTAATATATTTATTTAGGATAAATCTCGAGTTTATCAAAAGTTTCGTCAAGGATAAATCACTCAGAAATTGTTTATTGATATGTTGGTGGCAATGTTATTAAAACCGGATCGGTCGGTTCGACCGGTTGAACCGTGAACCAATGGCCTGTCCGGTCCAATTAACTCTCAAAACCGGATGAGCACAGAACCGGTAAAGAACCGGAAGAACCGACTGAGAACCGACAAAACCGGAATGAACCGGCTAAAAACCGGCAAAATCAGTGTGAACCTCATGTTCTCTTTTTTTCTTTAAAAAAATTAAACCAAACGACGTCATTTATTAAACGAGCCGAGTCGAACTCGAGTACTGCTGAGCTCGACTCGAACTCGAAAAATTTAAAAGTAAGCTCAACTCGACTCAAAAACTCACGAGCTAAAAATTATAAAGTTCAACTCGACCTCGAAATATAATATTGAAACATAACTCGAAAAGGCTCGAACTCAAAAAAAATTTAGAAGCTCGATTGAAGCCTGAAATTCGAGCTCAATTGAAGCGAAATAATAGTTCGCTCTGTGCTCACCAAAAGGCTCCATGATTTTGAATGTCAAATTACCTCTAGTATTTATAGAAGTCAGTTGGGATGCTCTTCTATGTTTCTTAGCCATGTGGGATTGTTTTGTTCTCATATTTTTACTCTTTAGACTTTTGGGATGCTCTTCTATGTTTCTTAGCCATGTGTGATTGTTTTTAAAAAAAATTAAACCAAACGACATCGTTTGTTATGATTTTTTTCAGCCCCAAATTTATTTTTTGATTATAATTATATAATTATATTTATTATTTAATATGTTTTACCTTAAATATTATGTTGTAGTTGATTTGAATTATTTTGTTTCACTTGATTTTATGTTTTTTTATCTTATATATGTTATGACTTGTAATATCTTTATACCTTTTAATATTGTAAACTTAAAAAAATGTTATATATATATATATATATATATATATATATATATTAATATTGCTTTGAATATTATGTAAAATTTTTAAAAGATATTATTTTATATAAAATTCGGCTGAATCGCGGTTGAACTTGTTTAAACCAGTGAACCGGTACCTTCATCGGTTCAAGGTCCGGTCCGGTTTTAAAAACATTGGTTGGTGGAGAATGGTATTTCCGAAAGAATAACGATCGAGATATTGTTCCATTGATAGTTTGCTACCCATTGATAATTGAAATGTGTAAATCCTTTTCATTCTATTATTATTTACGTGGTTCACTTACTATGTCCATGGAATAGGCTATATGCAAAACCGGGATCATCTTATAACAATGTATAAATCATTTTCATTCTATTATTATTCAATCTAGTAATTTACTTATGAATAGCATAAAAATTATAATAGTTTGAGTTAGTTTAATATATACTTTAATATCTGATTTTTTTTATTTTTATAATTAGGGTATTTATTTTTAATATATAGTTTGTTAACAATATTTTTTTAGACATTTTCACTTCATTCTTGTTTGTATAATATTGTATAAATTATTTCTAGTAAGGTTTTTGACAAATTAGGATATATAATTTGGATATGGATTCATATATTATATCTGATTTTTTTGGATTAGATACGAATCACAATTTTAATTATTCAAATTTTCAAATATTCGAAATTTCGGATAGAATAATATCCAGTATCCAAAAATGTACACCCCTAATTGAGACTACCACAAACGAATTCCGATGGTGAGAACTGGAAGGTGGGTGAGATAAACATATCTCAATTTTACTCTGATTGAATGGTGGAAAAGCAACACTAGTAATGGAGAAGCCAAAAGTCACAGCACCATATCTATGTCATTTGGGGTACTGTTTTTAGGTGAAACCGACATGAATTTAAATTTGAGACAGAAAAATCATAAATAAAATTTTTATGATCTTCAATTATAGTCGACAATGATTATCATATTGATATTTAAAAAACATCATTTTGAAATTCGCATCAACATCTTTTTGAGGGAAGTAATATAATGAGGATCACAAATGCAATTATATAAATTTACGTATTTGATATATTAGCATTTAATGACTTATTAAAACCATTTAATAGTTTAATGACCCAATTAGGAAAATTCATAGTTCAATGGTCAAAATAAAACCTAAAACCTACCCTATGATTTAACGATTATACAAGTCATCTATGTAGTTAAATGGAGTGTCTTTTTTCTTTAAGGTTTTAGGTTCGAAGAGCTGTATCTACAGGGTATGCGCATGTTGTCAATGATTATTGAACATATAATACTCTTGTAATTACTTCGCTGTAATAAAATAATTATATTAATGAGGTTCATGAGGTGGTGTACATTGTATCTTAATTAATACAAAGTACCCATCTTTCAAAAAAAATTATAAGTAAAGAATCAATATGTCATTAAAATAAAGTTATTTAAATTTGTTTTTAAGAAATTTTGATTCAAGTATCATTTGTTATTAATGTTTGAGTTTATACATCAACGAGACATTAAATTGTGACTTAAAAAATATGAATTTAATTGTATTTATTATAAAAAGAAAAAAAATCATATTTCACATCCACTATAAATGTAAAACTTATATGAATTAAATGATATTAGTGATTAAAGAGATGATTGTTATTCCTAAATGTTTAGTGATTAAATGAACAAAACTAAATATGCAAGATTAAATAGGAAAACATATCGACGACAATAATCAGCATTAAAATCAGTATCATTAACTACTAACGAAAGATGGAAAAAAAATGCAAGCGGCGTTTTAGAGAAAAGTTTTAACCCTATGAGCGAGAGAATTGTTTTAACCTTAAGAAAATGCTAATTGATTTATCACAAAAACTAAAATATTGGTCATGAATGAGTTATGTATAATATTAAATAATAAAATGAGGAACGATCGAGTCAAATATAAATAATTAATAGAGTTTGAATTCATCAAATTAAGCTTCGCTTAAATAAGAAGATAAAAACACTGCCAATGTTACAAACTCAACTGCTCCCTTTGATCCTCCCTTTACCTTTTACCAAAATCTCACGTAGGGGTCGAAAAGAGACTTGGGTTGGGGACCATCCCATTCCACTGATTCCCACCACTCCTTTGGTCTTATCCGAACTGAAAGATAGAAATTTGCAGATGCAGATGCAGATGGTGGGACATTATCAAGTTTGGGAAGATTAAGACCCATCCTCTTTAATTTTGGACAGTATACAATCTCAAATACGACAAGAGAATCACAAACCAGTACTCCACCAGCACTGCAAATGCTCTTCAATTCCGGTAGAAACGCCAACCTCAATTGCCGTAATTGTGGAAGATGAAACTCCGTGATAACCATTCCTCTTTCCTCCGTTTCAACTACTGATGTTATTATTTCCTCCAATTGCTTACAACTTCCGACACTGAGCATTTGTAAATTTGGCGGCACACAGTTTGGGGAGAACAACTTTTTCATATTCCCACAATCATTTATATAAAGAGATTTAAGAGATGAAAAGGAGGAAAGTGAGAAGAGGATAAACCTGGAGAAAAGCGGGTATTCTTCACTGCAATCAACATTGCAATACCCAATAACCAATCCCTCAATTTCACGTGGAAGCACAATCTGGTAGTTATAGATGTTACAACCCCTTGCAACAATTTCTTTTCCTTCATTTTCAGAAAACGTATGAAAGTTTACATCTCCCACGTAGATTATGTATTGACGAGGCTCTTCTCGGCCACGACAAGCTTCGAGATACATATTTAAGTTGTGCCAGTCATAAAACCTCCCTTCAAGAGTTCCCTGCAGTTTCTTCAATCCACCCACCTCCTTTCCATTTATCAGAGTTTCACCGACGATCAAGTCTTGAAGACAACAGAGTCTTGAAAGTACTCCATTCGGGATTTCCTTGATCTTTGTTCCTCGAAGATCCAACTTCTTTAAAAATCCAAGATTTGACAACGATGGAACATTCCCTAAATGTTCACAATAAGCAAGCAACAATGAAGTGAGGTTCTTCAAATTTGATAAGGAATGCGGAAGACTCTTGATAGGATTGGAGGAAAGATCAAGAATCTTGAGTTCATTCGTATCATCGAAGAAGCTTTCTGGAATACTTTCTATACGACAACCACACAACAACAATGTTGTGAGCCCGGGACACTTCGACAAGGAAATTGGAAGATTCTTGATAGGATTTCCGGAAAGATCAATAATCCTAAGCCCGTGCATATGCTTCAAAAATCCTTCAGGAATACTCGCTATATTGCAATGAGACAACAACAATGTTGTGAGCCTGGGGCACTTTGGGGGTGACATTTCCAAGGGTATATATAACCACTGATTCCATATCAACGAAACTTTCTCTAGATTCATGCTCCATTCTTTCACATCTGGTGCCTTTTCTAACATCATGCCGGCTTTTACCAAGAATCGAGATTTTGCAGTACGCAATGCCATGTCCCTTAGAAGATCATGCATTTTTACAGATCTTGCATGTTCTTCGTCAGCAAAAACTTCCAACAAGCAATTGCTGATGAGTCTATTCATTATTGCACGACCCCTGTCAAACCCTGCCCTCATGCTATCCATTTCTTCCACAAAGCCCTTCTGCGATCCAAAGTTGAATAAGACTTCGTTCTTCAATTTTCCAATCTTCCGGATATAATGCACAACTGAGGAAACAGTCTTGAAGTTTTGGATTCTTTAAACGATCATAACTAAATTGTAATTGTTGGAACACTTCATCTTCGAATCCATTAACACTCTTTTCGCGTAGACTTAATTCATTTAGTGCATTCCTCCATTCTGAAATGTCATCAATGCCCTTCATACAAGAAGCTATAGTAATTACTCCCAAGGGCAAACCTGCACAAATGCTTAGCAACTGATCTTGCAATTGGTTCCACCGCTGGAATATTGAGAATATCACAGCCCGCCTTCTCTAAGAACAACTTCCATGCCTCTTCTTCCGTCAGAGGCTTCACTTTAATCATTCTACAACCCATTTGTCGACACACATCAGCTGATCTTGTTGTCAACACTAATTTAGTCCCATTTGATGGCTCAGGAATTCCTATTCTCTCAAGTGAAACCTTCTCCCATAGGTCATCCAAGATCATCACAAACCTACTCTTCTGAGACAATGTTTCAAAGAGCCTCCCTGCCCTTGTAGTTTCATCTTCATCACCAGAAAATTCTACTCCAATTTTACTAGCAATGTCTTTCTGCAGTTTAGCAACATTCATCTCTTTGGATACAGTGATCCAAATCACAATATCAAATTTCCCTGTCTCTTTTAAGAGTTGGTTGTTTATAACCTTCATGATGCTTGTTTTCCCCACGCCACCCATCCCCCAAACTCCAATCTTTGGAACCTCATCATCCATCAAGCAATTCCAGATATCTTCAATACATGCCTTTACAGCTTCACCTGATAAACTTGTTGTCGATAAAACTTGTCCTATCCATTGAGGATTGTCAACCACCAACCTCCATGAAACTTACCATGTTGGATAATAAGTTCTTCAACTTCCGTAATACTCTTTGACACATCTTTTGTGTGAATCCACGTGTAAGAGCAGTACTTCACCGATTCTTCCATCAAGGGCATGCACTTCGACATTGACTCTTTCAACATTTTCCAACCATATCTGGACTTCCGCCTTGAGTTTCTTTCTCGGCTGCAGCTCTGATCTCATTATAGATTCTGTGTCTTTCTTCAAACCAATCAATTCCTCCAATTTCCTTTTAAGGTCCTTCCGATGTTGATCAAGGCTTCTATGATTGTCCAAGTGGCTGCAAGTCACAAGCAATATGTTAGAAACTAAATAAAACGCATCATTAGGTGAATGTATCTAAACATGACTAAAAATATAACTTCATTTTTTCTCTACAAAATGTTAAGAAATTATAAAGATGTAAATCAAGAAGTTTCACTCTCACGAATAATCAAATTAAATTAACATAAATTTAAGAGAGTGAAATTTCAAAATTTCAAGGCACAAAATTAAATCATGAATAAAAATACAAAAAAAAATATGAATTATAAGATAGTTTTTGGGTACATGGCTGTCAATAAACAAAATTTAACAATAAATTTAAGGTCTATTTACATAACGACTAATCAAATGTTTCTTTTTCTTTATAGTTGACAAAAAATTAAAGGAAGATCCTATGAATCGACCTCAATAGTTAAGGGGAGTGTTGTTCTCATTAAAGGTATTGGGTTCGAGCAGTTGCGTTTACAGTACGTGCGTTGTCAATAATTAAAAAAAGATTATGAACATCTTGTAATCAGACAATTTTTAAAAACTTAATGTTGTTTTATCTTTTGTTATCAATCATTTATTACTACTAATACTATTTATCTGGCATTTTCATTTACAATATTCAATCTTAATGATAATGAAATTTGCTTGCATTCTTTGCTATTATGTTTTCTATTAATTTCTGATTATAAAAACAAACTAATAATTTATTCTTATATATTTCCAATATCGAAAACATGCAAATTAACAATCCAATGCAAAATTGATATAATTGTAAACTAAAAGTAATATTACAATAATTAAATAATTTATAAGGGTATTTTAAAATGATTTAGCAAAATATTCTTAGTCCAATTAATCAAAATTATATTTAATTTACATTTTAATAAAATCTACATATTTCTTTTAATGAAAAATTAAAATACTAAACGAAAAATAAAAGTTAAATCCTAACCATAAGGAAATTATCATAAACAACAAAAAGGAAAATTTAATCTTAAAATAATATTAAGGAAATAATTTTAATTAAACATTTAAGGAGAGTATTTTAAAAGAATTCAAAAAAATATTAACATTTTAGAACACAAATCCTAAATAATTTGTAGGGTAAACTACACTGGTGACCACTTAATTATTGTTAGATTTCATTTTTGACCACCGATGTATCGATTTAACCAGTCAGACCACTCAACTATTTAAATATTTCAATCAAGTCAATGTTCGTTAATTTTTTAATGGGAGAGGCGGCGTGGCAGTTAAAAACTTGATATAATTATATATTTGGTCCTCAATATTTATACATTCTATCAATTTGGTCATAATATAATTCAATTAAAATAAAATTAATCTCTAATTAGATGATGACTTGTGCCACTACATGATTAGAGGATATTTTCTTAATTTTTATTTATTGATATAAAAATACAAAAATAAAAATATTCAGATGATATTTAACTTTTAATATTTTTAAACAAAATAAGTTTAATATTTTATTTTCAAAACCAAATTCAAATTTTTTTATATTTTTAAACAAAATGTATGAAATGATTCATTTCATATAAAAATAAAAATATTTTATATATTAAAAAATAAGTTTTATATTTTTTATATTTTAAAACAATTATATTTAATGCAAGATTCAAAAATATAAAAAAATGGAATTCAGTCTTAAAAATAAAATACTAAACTTATTTTACTTTGTTTAAAAATATAAAATATTAAAAATAAATAAATATCATTTGTTTATATGAATACAAAAAAAATACAAAAAAAATTCTTTAAATATGTGATTTGACTGAGTGGTTATGATTTTTTCATCTATGCTTACAGCTCCATATTTGAATCTCTTTGTTAGCATTTTCATTTCATTTTTTTTTTTTTGTCATTAACGGTAGTAAGTTATATAAAGGTTACTATGGTGTCTCAGTTTCACTCCTCCTTTGGTTCTTCTCGCCTTTTATTTTTTCCTCTTTAATTGAGCGATGACAATGTGTCGTCATCTCATTAAATTAAAAATTTATTAAATTAAATAAATAAAAATTAAGAAAATATCATCTAATCAGATAGTTTAAATTCCATAAATACCTCTTTTGAGAAGGTTGTTCGAAGACGATGATCGGAGAGAAGCACTGATGAAGAAAACGGCCAAATGAAGTTCCTTGGTTTGCAGAAGAGCCGCTATTCACTCACCTCAACTTAAACTAAGCTTCACCTACAACACAGAGGAAATTTCTAGGAAAATATGAGGAAGCTCCGTTAGTATATCTAATAATAATTTTATAGTGCAAGTAGAAAAGAAAAGAAAAGAAAACAAAGTATGTTGGGTTAGGTGCAATGACGCTAATTTTAAGAAAATTAAATTAAAGCCTACTTTTGTTGTTTATTATTGTATTCTTATATTTGGTTGCATGTGATATTTATTATGCGATATTTACTTGTGCAAATTTCACCTACTAACATTGACACGCGTTGTTTTCGCGTCAAAATAATTCTTTATTTAAAAAAATATAAAAATATAATAAATGGAAAGTAAGGATCGATCTTACAGAAATTATAGTTTCTGATTTAGTTATCTTTTTGTTTTTGAACAGTAGAGTTTAGTTATCTTTTTGTTTTTGAACAGTAGAGTTTAGATAGGGATGCAATTCAAGATTAAAACTAAATAAAAATATAAAAACAAAGTTGAGATAAAGAATAAAATAAAATCGGGAGATTTTGAAAGACTGTTTGAAAATAAGATAAAGACAAATAATAATAAAAAATATTAAATAGAATAAAATAGTAATTTGAGTTTGAAAAGAATACTTATTGTGAAAAGTATCCTCAGACTTTCAGTTTTGACTGAGTTTTCTCGGATCATCGAAATAGATCTTTACTTCAGGATTCACGTCGATTACTTGTCTATATGAACAAATCCTTGTGACTATGCTTTGTATATCGAATACCAAGTGCAATCTTTAATATTCATTTGTGAATTGATCTAAGCAACAACAATGTTGTAGATCTAAAAGCGTTGAAGTTCGAAAAGTTGTCGACTCGGATTATGTTGTTCCAACAATAACTGATTTCGATCTCAGTTTTCTCTTAGCAAACAATTTTGCTAAGTGTGTTCCCAGGAAGTTGAATGTGCTTCAATAAGTCGATCCTTCCTCCCACGTTAACCATAACAACATCCAGACCAACGTTAACTTTTGGTTTTGAAAACTATTTTGATTTGAAAATAAGCCCAGAAAACAGAGAGAGTTATCCGAAGCGATTTAAGTGTCTTACAATTCTCACGTTTGGAATTAAGTCATCGCTTTAGCCTTCGACTTTAAAGAAAATTAGCTAAGTATGACCAGAGTCACACTTAGTATTTTTGAAAATAAAATAAAAACAAAACAAAGAAGAACTTTGAAAAAGAAAAACTTTTATTAAAGACTAGTGAGAAGAAGAGTAAATTCTATGAGAGATGTGCTTTTAGGCTTACCATGAGAGGGTATTTATAGCATTCAAAATCCTAAAAACAAGATAAAGATAATTCCTAAAATAAAGAAATAAATCTTAATTAAAATACTTAAAATTATTTAAACTAAAATACTAAAAACAAACATAAGATAAAATATAATATAATATAATATTTAAAATAATATCCTAAAGCATGAGTTTAATTCAAATCCGAATTGTAGAAACGTGCGGCTGATCCATTCGTTCTTCTAGAAGCGCTGACTGGACCTTCTAGAAGGTGCTGACTTCATCTCCTCGTAAGATGCGTCATGCCCAAAGTTATGCTCACTAATTCAACTTTGATTTCGAAAATAAAAAACTACAGAATTCTATTTTTTTAGTGTAATTTCTAGAATCTAGTGTCTTGCACAGAAAATGAATTAAAACGAACAAATAACACACAAAAACTAACGATTAAGGATCAATTTAAGAGCAAAATAATAACCAAATAAAACACTTATCAAACACAAAAGAAACCTGTACTGTATTACCACAGAATCCAAATTAAAATCAAATGATCAGTGAACTAACAAAGGAAACTCCGATGATATCGGAAAAACTGTCGATGACGATGATGATCCTATTGAAGATAATCTAATACCTAAAATCTGGGACGTAATTGACGATGATGGGAATATGAAATCAATTTATATAGAGATCATCCGTGAGTGACAGAATTAAGAGCCAAATGGAAAGATAGACGAGCAGATGCAGGGACATTATCTAATACCCGCCTACTTCTTTTAATATTTTCAATGGTCTCATCAGCCAAAGGTGAGCGTTCGGTTGAGTCGAGTAAAAATATTTGAGTCGAGTAAAAAAATTTTGAGTTATTTGAGTTGACAAGTCTTATTTTATAATTCAAAGTTGACTTGAAATGTTTTTGAGTTGAGTCGAATTTTCGAATTTCTATTTAAATTTAATTATAAATATTTATAATATTATGATATTATTTTATTCAAATTTAAATGATATTTTATAACCGTATATAATACATATAATATATTTTTTCATATTTTTTTACATATGTGATGTATATATATATATATATCATTCAGAGTCTAGGGACTCGACTCAATCTTGAAAATTAATTTACTAATTATTAAAAATTCGAGTTGTATTTTAAAACTCGATTTTAACTTGAAATTTTTTAAAAGTCTAGTTTATGAAATTACAACTCATAGTCAATTCGAATATAATTAAATAAAAAAATTGATTTTTCAAATTGTGTCAACTTCTTCAAAAACTCTTTCTCTCAGCTAATAACCTCGCCAGAACTATGTGTAAGCGTAAGGTGAAATTACCATAGTAGTCCTTGTACTAAGTGGTAGATTGCATTTTGGTTCTACTAAAAAAAGGACTAAATTTTTTTTGTCTTGAATAAATTAGTCCCTCCGTTCAAATTTTTTGTGATCCCCACAGTTAAATGCTAACTTGACAGAAAGAAAAGGGCTTATTAAATAATTGGTCATTGTATTTGATATTTTCTCTTAAATTAATACTTTTACTTTTTGTTTCAGACCGAATTTTAATTCCACCAATTATTTTGATATATTTTTTTATATCACTGTCGAACACTATGACATGTCAACATCAAATTTTAAAAGGTAACATCATTCAAATATTTTTTTAAAGAAAATAAAAATTAGTATATATATATATATATATATATATATATATATATATAACATCTACTTATAGAACATAATATTTCTAAGAGTATAAATGAATAAAACATTTGATGAATTATTCCTATAACATTTATTTTTTAAGTTAATTTGATGAGATAAATAAATTTTTTATGTTTATTTAATAAAGGAACAAACAAGAACATATGTGTGTTCAATTCATTTATGTTCATGAACCAGCTCGTTTATAGTACTGTTTACTTTTTAAATATTGGTGAATGTAGGGACGAAATTAAACACATGATGAAATTTGAAGTTTAAACTATGAAACTTAAGGAGCTTAAATACTAGTGATATAATTTTATCATTTTTTAGCTTACAAATAAACTTATTCGTAAAAATTGAATTAATATGTTCTTGAACATATAAACAAACATATTCTCAAACATTAAAAGAATGAACAATAACACTTTTAAAAATAAGTAAACAAACAAAAATACGATATTAAAAATTTAAATGAACATGAAACAAATATAAATATTTTTAAAATAAACAAACAAAAACGAAATTATTTATACCCCTAAATATTACTTCATAATTGCACTTTATAATTCCAAAAGTAAAGATGAATTTATACATATTTAAAAATTATTAATTTTAAATAATTATTAATCCAATAATTGTCCTTATCGAATGAAATAATGAGATTTAGTTAGGTGGCGGAAATCCCAAGATTCGATCAAATCCAAATCAAAGTCGTAATGATATTAACTTGGCGCCACGTGAATCGTCCGTCAACGGAAAGGCCACGTCACGTTGTATCACATTATTTAGTTAGGTTTTTAGCAACTCTTCCACCATCCTACAACATTAATAAATCAAGGTGAGGGGTAAAGCTGGTATTTACTAATGGAATAGATTAGTAAAGAAAAATTAATCTCGTTTTGTAATATCTGATCTAAATTAATCGATTAAGAAATCAGAAATAAATGGTTGTCCCTTATTTCCGTATGTAATGGGGTAAGGGGAGGTAAGATAGTAGGTTGCCCTCAACACTAGGTTGAAAGCAGTTTCCGTAGAAGATCTCTGAATTATGAAATACCTTCCATGAGACTCAATCTCACAAACTCAAGGTTAAGAAATAAATGATTAATTTAAAAGAAATACTTTTTCAACATTAAAATAGTCTGAGTAAAGTATATAGATGATCCACCTGTCTTCCTCAATACATTCTGCATAGAATACAGATGCTGCTTCGTGGGACGATGCTCTTCGTGATCCTATTGTGAACCCTGAAGCTTTGTTTTAGCTTTAGTCTAGTTTTCTTTCTCTGTCAATAAAGAAAAAATAATCATTTGATTTTTATTTTTGGCCACCATACTAATCACATGGTTGAATTTTTTATTAATTTATTTTGTCCATTTAATTGTAACTTTAGGCAAAATAGGCCCTAATTAATAACTTATTTTACTAAATAAAAGATTAATGATGAAAAGGGAGTTTTGAAATTTAAAAAAGTTAAATTAAATCTTATTATGTATATGAATCTGATAATAATAATAATAATAATGTAAATTTCCAATCTTTTATTGATAAATAAGAAAACTTATTTTACTATTAAAAGATTTAACATTTAAAAATTTAATCAATTGAAACTTATATCAATATAAAACAAATTAAAATAAAATTTAAATCATGATAAAATAAAAAAGTAAAATTTTT